GGGGGGGGGGGGGGGGGGGGGGGGGGGGGGGGGGGGGGGGGGGGGGGGGGGGGTTGGGAAAAAGCAGCTGTATTCAGCTTCTCGACCTCGTAACGCCATGACCGACTGCTCACTCGCACAACCAATAAAGTCGACCTGCTGCATCACGGGCGGTCTGATTTCGGGAGCGCGAGGCTATTACTCACCAACGCTGACTCGGCCCTCACGACTGGTCCTTGCACACACAACGCCGGAGGTTCGCAGCAATTCGTTTCACCCCGGAGATACCGCCATAGCCCTCCTATGCTTACCTTGCTCAGGAGATGCAGCTTGTCCAACCCCAAAATGGAAGGGCCGTTGCACAGGCGCAACCCCGGAAGCTCCCCCGTCCCACCGCCTCCACCCGGAGGGGGCATCATCGCGCCAGAGCCCCCGTCACCTCCGATATTTGCTCCCTTTCCGACTCCGATCGACGCTAGCATAAGCTTGTCGCAGAGCGTCCGGACCCTGGTTGGCCGTTTTTTGTATCAGGGCACCAGGACAAGGGGGGCTCGGGAGTTAGCAGACCTACGGCGCGGATATATGTACAAGAAGGTTGGGGAGTGCGGCATGAACCCGTGGATGACACAACTTGGTAGACTTGAAATTCACCAAGAGCAGCAGTCCCTCGGAACGGTGCGGCGTGATAAGTGGCAAGCGATTCGCCGGTCCACGACCAAAACATTGACATCCTGCACGAAGGATACAGGAATGCGGCCTTGTCACACACAGCGGTGCTTCCCAAAGCCCAGCCAAACCACAACCAATTTTGTGCGTACCGGCCTTCCCCGTAGCCCGCGCTCTTGGCGAGGTGCCCCGCGTACGCCCGCAGAACGTCCTCGAACTCCTCCGCGTTGCCCAACAAAACGGCGGTCGACAACGACTCTTCGAGGTGCCCCCTCGTCACTGCCGACTGCAGGCTCTCCCTCGCCGGCGCGCCCGCCATCGCCGCCGCCGGCCGCTTGCCCGCTTTTGAGGCCTGCAGGATCGCGCCGGGGGAAGGAGACGCGCCGGACCGAACCCCTCTCTGAAGCGCCGACAAAACGCCTCCCCTGGTGGAGGGAGACGTGCACGGGCCCGAAGAGTAGAAGTCGGACAGCGCCGACCTCCCGTCGGCAACCCTGACCCACGTCTCGAGCCCGAGGTGAAACGTGAAAGCCTGGAGGGACCCGCCGGGGGCCCCGTGGCATGCCAGCATCACCAGCGGCATCCCCTCCGGAGTGACCCCGGCCCTTGCCACCGACACCCCTTTCTTCGCCTCCGGTCCGGCGGAAGCCCCAGCAGCACCGGCCCCGGTGCCACCGGATGTGCCCCTAGGGAAACGAGGTGAACCAGAAGCGGCGGCGGCAGCGGGAGAGACGCCGGAAGAAGTGAGCGACCGGAAAAGGGGGCTCAGAGAGGTCTTGACGACAATCCTCATGCTGTCGAGGTTCCAGACGGTCACGTCGCCGTCTCCGGATATGGCCATCAGGTGCTCACCCGGCTGGGCGGCAGCGGAAGCCGGAGGTTGTTGTCGCGGCGGTGGTCGCTTGTCGCAGCACTCCAGGTAGGCGACGGGCGGCGAAATCACCATCGGGGGCGCAGAACGAACGCCATTCCTGGGGTCGGGACGTGGCGAGGGCAGGGGTGGGTGGGCATAAGGGTAGGCAGTAGTAGGCATGGGGCAGCCATCGACGCAAAACCGAAATAGTGCTTCACCGACTGATAGCGTAGGTCAAAGCAACATCAACGCATCGGATTACAAACACCACAGACAACGACGTCATCAAGCCTGCCGGCAGAAAAAAAGCCCCTTACCTGTCATACACGTAGACCGACCCGTCTTCCGCCCCGACGGCCGCGACTCGGTCGTTGCCGCAGCACGCCGTAGCCATGCCCGCCACGTAATCTCTCCACGCTTCCCTCCCCCCCCTCGTGACGGTTACAAGCGTGTACCGCCGGGACGGCAGGCCTCCAAAGTCCTCGTCCAACGCCGAGCACTCCATCACTGTCGCCCCTGATGGCGCTCGTCCGCCTCTGTTCCCTTCGACCCCTGCCCCCGATCTTGCCCCGCCTCCCGCCGCTGCCGCCGCCTGTACTCGCGGGGAGGACCGGAATGCATCCCCGCCTTCCTCTCCCCTGCCAGTAATCTGCCTCACTAGGCTGCCTGTCGCGCTTTTCTGCGGCATGAGCTCGGGGGGAGACACCAGCGGCATCCCGCCCCCCCTCGCGCCACGCAACCGAACCACCGTACCCTCGCAAGCCCGCACCCCAACCACCTGCTGGCCGCTCCCGCTCCAGCCTCCGGCGCCGCCGCCGGTCCGCGGACGCTTGGACCCGGACCTCGGGGAATTCACCGTCGGGGCGGCGACCGCCGCGGAACCAAACCCTTCGGAGACCGTCGTTCCCCCCGGCGGGAAGACGGTGGTGACCGCGAGGTCTTGCGGGGTCGCCCCCGGCCCGTCGCTCAGCAGCATGGGTTGGATCCGGCGCTTGCCGCCCTTGCCGCGGGACTCTATCTGGAGCGGACGGGACGACACCGACGCCCCCGTCGCCGGCGTCGTCATCCTTCCCGCCAGCGACGACACCGCGGAGTTGCCATTGGCCTTCGCCGCCGCCGCTCGGTTCTTCTGCAGTTCTTTCCTCGCCTTCTCCAGGGCCAGCTGGCGGGGGTTGTCGACTAAGGACGGGGAGCCGTCGAGCGCGAGAGCGACGTTGCCCGCGTCCTTCCCGTACATCTTCACCAGGTGGGCTTGTCGATGCTCCTATGCGTGGGAAACATGACCCACAAGAGCATCAAGGGACAGCACGGAGCACCCAACGACAAAGTTGGCGATGGATCTCCATAGGGTCATGTACGTCTGGGCGTCACTGCAAGGCCATGCATACACAAGGAGTCATTCTCGAGATTATTGCAGGGCCACCTTAACTCGCCCTCACCAAAAACCTTTACAAACACCCGGTTCTTCGACGTTCGGACAAAAACAACACAAAAGACGGCACACACCCAACTCGCGGACCGGTCCGGCGCCACCCGTGCCAAACCTTGCTCACCTCCGATACCACGACCCCGAGCTCTTCCTGCGTGAACCTCATCACCACGACGGTCCCGTCGTACCCGGACACCACCAGCGTGTAACCGTCGGCGCTCCAGGACAGGTCCGACGGGGGCTGCTGGAACACGTCCTTCAGGATCACCAAGGGCCGCGCCGCCGCCGCCAGCCACACCGTCACGATGTTGTCCTGCCCGGCCACCGCCACCACGTGGTGGGACTTGGGCCTACCCCCCGCCGCGGCGGCCGCGGCCGTCGGCTTGTAGATGATCGGGCTGAAGCTCGCCGCCAGCGTGGCCTGCGAGAAGCCGACGAGGAAGGTGGGCTGGTCGTCCCACCGTCCTCGCTGGAGAACGACGGCGTTGTGGGTGTCCTGTTGAGGTCGTATCGGGGAATCCGGAGAGATTGCGGGGTTTGGGGACTGTTAAGGGTAGGCATACGTGGATGAGAGGTTTGCAAGGCGAAGTTGCCGCGAAGCTGGATTGCCGGAGATGCGCTTGGTAGAGAGGAGAGGACCACGGCAGGGGCAGAGCTACGGTGGTAGAAGTAAGGGGAGTGCTCCAAATGGGCTCTCATGACAAGGTAAGCACTGTGGCACACAGATCGATGACCGAGGGCGTACCGCTGCTATGTCCGCATTGAGTATTCCAATACGAGACACGAGGGTGGATCAAATCCGGGAAAATGTCAAGAAGCAAAAATGCACCAGGAAACACCATTGCCCCCACACAGCCAACTGAACCAGGACACAAGCAATCGGCCAATACAATGCCTATGTTATCTGTATCCGACTCGCACTCCCCCCCCCCTGTTCGAAGAAAACCATTCTGATACGGCGTGACAGGCAAAGGCCACCTATTCCCGACAACCAACAATCCCCCCGGCTGTCTCGCATCGCCCAGCAAGCTGCATGACCATGACTTCTCACCCCGTCCTTGCTGTTGGTAACCACAAGGAACTGGCCATCCGGGCTCCAGCTGATTCTCCGGACTAGCGTGTCGTCGCAGTCCTCGAACGGTTCCGTGATGGTCGCTTCCACGTCCCAGTTCCCCCCAACGCGCCAGATCTGAAGGGTGTGGGTGAGGGGTAGACGAGATGCGGCGAGAATGCCTGAGACAGCTGCTGTGATATCAGCTCAAGATGCTCTCCGACGCTAAGCGGGTTGCGGAAATCACCCATCTGAAGTGTGAAGGATCAGAGCAAGTGGCAAGCACATCAGTGCATACAAGGTTTCAACGTCGCCGAACGGGGGCTGAAACAGCACAAAACAACACAACAAGCCGAACGAGACAAGAGGTGAGCATCAGAATTGCGGCAGTTGGCACGGGCGTCAACAATCTTGTGCGATTACCCCGGCGAGCACCCACCCAGCCAACCGCTCATGGTCCAAAACAACGCTACAGCCGTACTCCTGACTTCAGCGGTGAACGGCAAGCAAAATACTTCGAAGCATGTTGTATCAGTACGGACATAGGGAGGTACTTGATGGAGAGATCGGAACAGTTGTTAATATGATGACACCAACAACAACGACAACAGCATGTTCTTACTACACAAGGAGGGAAACTCACGAGCAGTCTGTTGTCCTCCCCGATGCTGGCAATGAACCGACCGATGGGGTCCCACGCGACCCCCTTCACGCAGCACGAGGACGAATCCACGGAGCCCCCCACACCGACAGCAGCAGTGACGAAGGAGCGAAGAGAGAAGATCGACTCAGATGCGGCTACCAATGGTCGATTGGCCTTAACAGGCTCATGAGAGCGGATGGTAGGCTAGACATACAAACATATCCCACAAGCACACAACATCTTCGGTATGCGTACAAGTGCAAGATGGTTGTGTCGCCCAGCCCACGCTGATCACTTTCACCACATGTCTCTCTACTGGGGGACGAGGGAGGGGGGGCATGAAAAAGGACATCGCACGCCCTTGCAACTTGGAAACGAAGAAGTAGTTTCCACGCAACTGCCGAAGGTGGCAAAAGCGTGGGGCCCGTTCCCCATAAAAAAGATCGTACCTGTCGGGTACAAATGTGCCTAATCACGTGGTGCCCACTACGTCATTCGATGAGAAGCCGAAATCAAACCACTTCACTAGTCAGCGCCGGCTAGTCAGCTAATGGTTTTGTCTTAAGGTTTGATTTCGGCTTCTACAAACTTTCACTCAGTCTCCTCATCTCCCACAAAAACAAACCGTCTCGAAAAACAAGTAAGCGGCGAGCCAGCGAACGCCAGGAGCACGCGCAGCAGCGGCAGCACTCAGCAAGAAAGACACACACCTTGACGAAGCTTGTGTGTTGCTCGAGCGACTGGAAAGGGTTCAGGATCTTGGCGGTGGCGAGTCGGGAGAGCTGAAGACCCTCCTCGCCGTCGGTTTCGGGCAGCCGCCAGACGATGACCTTGTTGTCGATGCTGCAGGACACCAGCATGGAGTCGTTCGGCGACCTGCCCCACCCCGTCATATACCCACCCAACAGACAGCAGCAGCAGTGCGTTCAATCTGTTGTATGGAAGAGTCGAGCCCTAGTCGTCCGAGTAAGAGCTAAATAGGCTGAAATAGGGGATCGGGGGTGCCGTGAGTCGATGAGTGTACCATATACCCGCCCAGCAGACAGCAGTGAAGCAGTGCGTTAATGTATGGACGAGTCGGGTCCTACTATGCACTGTCGTTGGTTTCCGACAAGAAAAACATATTAGATCGGGTTGTCGAGAGTCGAAGAATGTAGACGAGGACAAAAGCTCGTGGTTGTGGAAACAAGACGCCTCGATGAGATGATGTTCGTGCGCGTGAGGTGGATCTGAGCAGTAGCGAGGACGCTGGGCGACAGCCGGTTCAGATGTCGCGCAAGCCGTCTCCGTGTCATCGATCGGAATTGGAGGGAGGAGGGGCGAGTTGGAATACTCAAATGCGGAATACTTTTGAATGTACGATGTCTTTTGAAAAACGTGCACAGTTAACCGGGTAACCGTACCCACAGAAGATGATACCCCCTTACATTTTCAACCAGCCAACTATGATATCACGGGGGGGTGTTATCTTGTGTGGATTTCTGAATCCTCTGTTGATGACCGAGGGCAACGACGGAATGGGGCAAACCACCTTCCAGGTGGATCGGCAACTCGTCGGTGAACTGTTCACTGATTTTTGCGCGTCGGTGCTGGCTTGCGCGCAAACTTGCTCCGCCTACAGAGTAACAGTATGAGTTTTGTGTGAAGTGTAAGTTTCTTTGAACATGCACACGACAGAGGTAGGGTGGATGGACTCACCAGGCGCAGTCCAGCACGTCCATGGAGTGGCCCCTCAAGACGCAGACCCTGGACCAGTTCTCGATGTTCGGGGTTTCCGTCGAGCCGAAGGGGGCCGCCGCCGCCGACCCCTCGGGGAGAAGCTCCCAGACGAGGACGAACTTGTCGTCCGAAGCAGAGGCAAGATACCGCCCGGCGTGACTCCACCGCACGCAGAGAACGCTCCCTGTGTGCTGGGGCAGGCCAGCCAGTAGCTGCACGTCTTCCCCCTGCACCAGGGGGGAAGGGGTGCTAGCCGCTGATGGCCCTTCTTCTGGTGGCCGTGGTGGTGACGGTGCCCCGCTGCTGTTGTCCTCCGATGGAGAGGTTGTTGACGACGCCGCGGAGACGGAGGCCGCCGAGGCTCTGAACGGCGCCATGGACCAGATCCTAACGCGGTGGTCGCTACCGCCGGTGGCGAAGCGGGATCCGTCCGGGTGCACGTGCACCGAGTAGATGACGCACGCCTGCTTCTTCTCGCCGAAGTGGCCCACGCTCAGAGGCTTGTCGAGAATCATGGTCGGCAATCTCGCAGGAAAGTGTGTGTGTGGGATGCTCCAGTAGTTATCGACAGCTCTCGTTCAAAACGCGCGCTGCTGCTGCTTGTTGTTGAGAGAGCGGACTATTTTCAAAATCGAAACTGTTGCGCGTTCGGTAGCCTGGGCCTGCTCTTGGCTGTCATGCACCCGTAGAGCTATCAGAGTGTAGCCCTTGAAGGCCACGGGTGGTGCTGGCTCCGCCTCGGTCCAGTGATGGTGGGTGAGATTACAAGAGGCAGTGCCACAGGCCGGCTCTGTGCGGGGGGCGACGCTGGTTACTACTGGGCACCGCATCGTGTATTTCGCGGAGCCCCATTTTCAGCCGCACAAGTTGAGCCGCTCATGCCGACCCACAGGCGACAGGCGACAGGCGACCCACACCCCACACAAGCAGCACCGCAGGGGCAGCAGCTTGCAAGCGGTGCGCAGTACAACCATGGCATCCCGCATAGCTACTTCTTGCCTAGCAGGACCACTGCGGCAAGCCCGTCTAGCCCGGCCGCGATTGCACCCGCAGCTACGCCGTGATGGCAACCGTCCAAGCCGCGTCCGCAGTTGTCGGATAGAATCGTGTTCAACGTCAACAACCGGAGCTCCACCACCGTCATCATCGACAGCAGCGTCATCATCAAAGACACCAACACCGCCCCCGCCCCCGACTGGCAAGAAGACGAGCGTCATGGACGTCGTCAAGATCCGCCGTCGGGGAGAGAGGAAGGTCACGATGGTGACCGCCTACGACTATCCGTCCGCGGTGCACGTCTGTCGCGCTGGCATCGATATCTTGCTCGTGGGAGACTCGGTGGGCATGGTCGAGCTGGGCTACGACACCACGCAGCCCGTCACCGTCGAGGACATGCTGCATCACTGCAAGGTAAACGTGGCACGGAAATATGCTCCACTGTTTGGTCTTAATGACGCACTTGCGGATGCATACGGCTGTGTGCAGAGTGCCGAGGTTGATCATTAAATTTGAATTTGAACAACGACGCACTCCACAATCCTGCACGCGTTGATCTTGTGGCTTAGCCACTTCGCTGCTGCTGTGTCCAAGAGGGAGCAGTACATAGCTGCCGTCATGCCCTACCCTCCTAGTATGTGCCGGTTGATAAATGCTGGGTGCCCCCGACAGCGCCAGTGGAATCGCGTGACACAGATGGAGCATTCAATATGTGATAATATTCTGAATAGTCTAGGCCTAGTGCCGAATGCTCGATAAGCTGAAAGAAGGGCCTCGCTACGTGTACGTACAATGTACATGGGCGCGCGTCTTGGCACACTTCTGTGCGGTCGTCTTTTTAAACGTGTTCGGTCTCAATTTTTTGTCGCACAAGGGTGCCAAGACGCCGATATGTGCCATGTACGCGACTGAACTTGTGAATGGAGTCAATAAATCTTTGGTCCTGAAATTACAACGCACATCCCGCGCGCCATGACTCCGATCCGTGCTATATACAAAGCGGCGATGTGGAGTGTTTCGCAAGGCGCACCCCCGTGCCAAGACTCCGATATGTGTGATCCTGAACACACCACAGCGGACACACTCCGGTACTTGGTGTGCAGCACTGCAGCTCCAGGATCACACCACAAGGAGCACAAACAAAGCACCACGGCAGTACAAAACACACGTGACGCAGCACGAAAAAAATCGTCGGGATTTCCAGCAAATTACCTCGAGATTCCCCGCCCCAGGGGTGGGCGCTCACGCATTCACCACGCTGGCAATGCGTTGGCTACGATGTTGTTTGATGTCTTGTGGTTCGTACGCTTTCTTGGTTGATTTAGTGAATAGTCTATCGTTCGCCTATTTCGACAATAATAGCAATATTGAACAAGGCATTTCTATGCATAGGAATATTAACACGACCTCCCCTACACGTGAGCGTTATCGCTGCCAGAGTGCAGCTGTGGAGCCCATGATACGAGCTCCCGTGGTTCAGTAGTATCTCGCGACATACGCCAGATACCACCTCGTAGCAGCGATCGCCCCACCTCACCGAAGGTATCGGGGCCTCCGCTCACCCCTGTGCGAACTGAACGATACCTCTGCGATTGCCGATGAATCCCTTCGAACTTCGAACCCATCTTTTTTTCCGCACCCCCTGTGCCAAGACCTCGCCCTGTGCGGTGTAGCCGATCCATGGCAAGACGCGCATCCTTACGCTAGACTGCACAACGACGTGTGTATGTTTTACCGCAAGCCGCAGAGTAGATTCCTCTATTTTGTTGCTTGTTTATTTGTCCATCTTCTGTTTTGGTGTTTTGTGTGGCTTTCGGCAGGCCGTGGGCAGAGGCGCGCGCACGCCACTGGTGGTCGCGGACATGCCATTTGGCAGCTACGAAGTGTCGCCGAAAGAAGCGCTACGAACCGCCATCCGGTTTGTCAAGGTACTTGTATTTGTGATCGTCCAGGGAATGCTCGCATGTTGACGGAACCAGCGTAATGGTAACGGACGTTAATCTACCCGGTGGTGCGTGTATCGAGCATCAAGTTTCGACTTTGCCAAGTGTGCCAGACTGTGGTGAGCGGTTAAAACTCCGTGGTCCGTCTGTTGCTGATCGTGGGTGGCGAGTCGGCACACTGATTTTTATCTCAACAATGCATTCAGCCGGTATTTCTAAACTTTGCGAAAGCATCGCCTGCGGCGTCCGCTCGAGCGGCAGCGGCTGCCCTAACCGCGCTGCCCCCCTAGCGCGGGTCCATCGACATTCCCTACTCCTAACGTCGCTGCCGCCCCATCTGGCCGCGTTCAATGTCTTTCCCTCGAGCAGGAGGGCAACGTGGACGCGGTAAAGCTTGAGGGGGGAAAGAACCGTGCCGAGCACATCCGAAAGGTTGTAGACGGGGGGATCGCTGTCATGGGACACGTGGGACTGACGCCTCAGGCGATCAGGTGAGGGAGGAGAGCGGGAAAAAAACGAACAAAAAGTGTCGCCCTCTTCGCTGATACATACATTAGGCGCTTTGCCGTGCTGTGGTGTCGCGATGCTTGCACCTTTGCTCTCGAACGTTCTCGGAAGAACGTTTTTCTAAGGCCCTCGCCCCTTCCTCGTCGGTGATCCGAGAGTCGTCCACCACGCGGTGGCGAAGCGGTACATGAGATTTTTTTTTTGAAAAAAATAGTAGTTGTTTATTCGTCATCTCACCGTTCGCCCGCGGTCGCGCCCTCTTGGCTACGAGCAATCGTAGCACCCGCTCAAGTGCAGCATGCTGTACGTGCATACCGCGGCCATGCATGCAACACGACGACATGACTCCCCCCCCACAACCTCTCTTCGTGTCCTTTTTTTGTTTTCGTGACCCTAAAAAAGCGTCTTGGGAGGGTTCCGTGCTCAGGGGAGAACGGCGGTCAAGGCGAGGCAGATCGTGGACGACGCCTTAGCCGTGCAGGAGGCCGGCGCCTTTGCGGTGGTGGTGGAGTGCGTTCCGTCCCCGGTGGCGAAGGCCGTCACCGAGGCGCTGGAAATCCCGACGATCGGGATCGGTGCCGGGTCTTGCACTAGTGGCCAGGTGATGATTTTTCTCATTGGTGGTTGTAGGTTGTGGTGGTGGTAATTTGACGTAGTCGGTGGTCTGCTAGCTTGATTGGGACGAAGTGCTTCGCGGGGATAACATTTGGCGTCGAAGCCGGTCGAACCCCCCTACGCAGCAGCAGGACCGATAGTAGCAAGCAACACCAGTAGCAGTAAAGCGTGTCTGGGAGAGGTAGATAAGCTGAATCATCACGTCCATCTACAATATTCGCTACGTAAAAGCAGCGTGAGGCAAAGGTTTGCAGCAGCAGCTAGAAACAGCATTCTTTTTTTCGTCCAAGCGCAGAGAGCGTGCACAGCAGCAGCAGCAGCAGCAGCAGACCCTTATTCTCCCCCGCCCTTATCCATTCCAAAAAACGTACGTTTGCCCAAACAGGTGTTAGTTTACCATGACATGCTTGGGATGCTCCAGCACCCGCACCACGCCCAGTTCGTCCCTCGATTCTGCAAGAACTACGCCAGCGTTGGCGAAGAGGTGCGGTTGCATCGAAGACCATTCGGAGGGGAAGAGACGGTTCGGAAAGGAGCAGCCGTGTCAAACACTAAATGCTTGAGGGCAGGGGTGAAAGCTTGTGCTAATAACTAAATATCAACTAGATACCAACGAGATAATGTTGGAAAGCGTCTCTCAGTAAGTACATCACCAGCGTGGGTTCGATGGGAGTTCTTATCCTGTCTTTTAATCGGCAACGGTGGAAGACCAACGGGAAAACATTTCGAGCCACAACCGCAAGTAAGCGGAGTCTTGCTCCCGTGCGCCAATTCCTTGGAAAGCAGACCAAGTCGCGGCGAGCTCGACACACTTTCTCCCTAGCCCTCGCCCGACTCACGAACTATTGCAACAATCAGCAAGAACCCATGGTAGCTGCTTAAGCGTTTGTTGCCCGTGACCCTCGCCGTTGCTGCTGCTGCTGCTCTCAGGTGCGCCGAGGGCTTGAAAACTTCCGGCGGGAGGTGGAGGGCGGCGTCTTCCCGCAAGAGGAGCACAGCCCCTATAAGATGCCGGCTGGAGAAGAGGAGCAGTTCAAGCGGCTCCTCGCCGAGGTAGGCAACCTCGACGCTTTTGGATCCCTCTCTCGTGTTACACAAGGGGATCCCCAAATGTTGTAGGCTTGGGTAGTCCACAAGGGTAAGCCGCTACATATGTCGAGGTCGGTCCGCGAGTGCACTTGGTGTTGTGGCCTTTTGGTGATGTTTCGTCATCGACGAGCACCTGATGCGCTTGCGCGTTTTTCGCAACCCCGCGGTGATGCCGTCCAAGAAAAAAAAGGGGTTATCTCTAATCCAGCTTATCGATGCGTTTCCTCTGGCATCACCGACAGGTTAGATGCGTAGAACGTTGCACACCCCCGTCATTCCGTGAGCACCCGTCCAAACATATCATCTCTCATCCTCCGACATCACCTTACCGCTGTCGATTGAACGTTTCTTGCTTTTCGGGCGTGATTGCGGGGGCAGGATGAGCGCGAGCGACTGGAGCGGCTGGCGCTGAAGAAGAAAGCCCTCGAGGAGCAAGACGAGTACGAGACCATCAGTAAGGACGACGATAGTGGCGTAGAGGGGCCTTATGGGGGAGGAGGAGGCTCCAAACGATAGGGGATGACCATAAAGGCGCGATAGACGCCATATAGCTGATACATACGCATCTGAGAGACTCGCTGAAGGTAGGTTGTCGCCACCGTAAAGTAGGCAATGATGGGATGGGTGCAAAAGCAGCAATGGCAAGAGCGGTCTTCGTAAGCGACAACATCGCGGCCGCGGACCCGCTGCATGCATGTAGAGGAGAAAACCAGGAAGGGTTGGGATGGCCCACACAGCAGTTCCCCTCGTCAACCTCCGTCGCGTTCGGCCGCGCCTATGACGCGCCTTGTTTTTTTTTCGATGCGGTCGTTTAGGGACAGAATACTGCAGGATGGATGAGTTCTTGTTTGCTGAGGCATCTTCCATGTGCAACTCCTCAAGCATGCTTGTATATCTTTCTTGTCTCCTTGCTGAGGCATGCGTATGCGTGCAGCCCCCCAAGCATGCTTGTTTCCCATTCGATTTTGGTTCGATTCGAAAGGAGCCTGCCTGTCCATAGGTCGTCGTGATTGTGTTTGGTTTTCATGAGCGCGTCTCGTCCCACGGGAAAAGTCGAGTGTTCCGCATCATTACCTTTGTGCGGGTTGCTCGGGTGTTGTGCTGCGGCTTCGCTTTGTGCTTTGCCAGCTTGGCTGTGGACTTGAAAACAATGTTCGGGTTATTGACTTATTTTCTTGCGGTTTTCCGGGGGGGGGGCGGGGGGNAAGCGCCGTGAGGTATTCGGCGAGTCGCATGAAGGGTGCGCTGCATCCTGCTAAGGGTGTTCGGCATCTTGTGCTTACTCCCTTGCATACGGATTACAGCTGCGTATGATTTAATGTATTTTCTGGTGCTTTCACTTCGTGAGACAGTTGAAGCACTGTGTAACTGCCTCGAGGGTGCTTGACCATTTTAACACAACGTGGTGCGATCATCCCCCTTGCGCGGAGTGAGGCTTCTCGACCCCGCACAACATGATCTACTCGACCACCATTGTGGCTACCGCCAAAAAATGAAAACGGAGGTAAAAAACAAACAACGGTAACCTGGTTGCCGAGTTCACGAAGTGAATTGGCTTGTTTCACAACGTCGTTGCNGTCGGTGGTGAAGTCAGTCGTGGGGTGGACACGGAGACGAAGAGTCGAGATGCTCTCCAGCGCGTTTTTGACGGTAGCTGGCGAAGACCGTGTCGGTGCTGCTACAAGCGAGATAGAGTGCTCGTAATAGCTTTGATTGTTGCGTACCTGTACCATAGCCAATCATGTCATGTTGTTTGTCTTCCACGACACCAACAATGCTTGCTGCTTACAAGGACTCCTTCAGTCCGCGAGAAACAAAAATGCCAATCGATCCCGAAACACACAAAAATACAGTGGGCGGCGTAATTTTCCCGATGAGAACGCCTTGGCGGCGTCTACGTTAATCGCCCACAAAATGGTTTATCTTCCACCGCATACCGCATGCAATAGGACGCAAAGCATGTTGTCTCAGTCTCATGGTGTGGAAACGTCTCTAAAGCATGGTGCGACGACTAGCCTACCGGGCGGTTTTCTCGTGGAGCAGGAGGTCTCTCCGGAAGAGTCATGTCTGCCCAAAGCGCTAACCAAACCCTTCACGGACGACTCTTGCCTGCCAAGCAAACGTACGCAACTCAAGATAAAAACAACACAAGCTCGGTCTCGAAAGCCAATGGGCACGAGGGCCTGCGTGCAATCACGCATACACGCCTCAAGCCTACAGCCAAGGGATATCGGACATGCTACGGTGTGTGGTAAATAAATATCGTAAACAATGCTTAATAAATAAACAGGGCCTCTTTTTTACTCTGCTCTGTATAAGAGCCCGAGAGCTCGTTCAAAAAATATATATGACTCAAAGTTCTACTGTACCAGGTTTCTCTTCGTGCTCCGAGGGGGGAGCAGTAGCAGCTCAGCCGTTCAAAGAAAACCGCTCGAATTTGAATCAAGCTGAATATATCGGAGCCCCCATCACCTCAAGTGGGTGTCGCACGACGCCGTTATTTCTCCTCCCCCCCGGTGCCCCTTCAAGCTTGGTCGACGTGCCGCCTCTGCTTCTCCCCTTCGGCCTCGATGGCGAGACGTTCTTTCCTCGAACGGCCTTAGCCAGCCAGTCCATCCCTTCCTTCAGCCCCAGCCCTTCTTTCGCCGAGCAGCTTTGCACCGCCCATCTCCACGTGCTGCCGTCCGCTCTGCTAGGGTTGTTAAGGGTGGTGATACAAAAAATATGCACCGTGAACGGTGTACTTGCACCGCTAACGGAGTTCTTCACACCGTTTCACGGAAGGAAGCATGAACGGCAATAGGAGGAAGGGCACCAACACCACACATCGGGCCCGGCGAAGAAAAGAAGGATGTTCGAATGACGTGATGAGAATAAGTTCCACGCGAAGGGGTTTGAAGCTTCTCCAGTTGAGACCGTAAACAGGCGCCAACCACATATCCCTCATTTCGTCAGACACGAATGCCGACAACGTTGCTTAGCGGCAGGGTATACCGGCACCCTGAGGTTGCCTATCGTTAAATGGCAGCGCTTTCGAATGGCACGAGACCTTTCATGCCGAGGATACCTGTCGTTCCACGACCAGCTCATTCAAACGGCGTGGGGACATCTGGACTCGCACCTCGAGGAAATGGCCAAGTCCCGCTCAATGGTCGCCGGGGATGCAGCCGCCGGTATGTCTTGCTTGTTCGCCAACACCAGCACCGTGAAGCACGTGCGCGGTTTTTGTGATGCCAGCGCCGTCAATATTGGGTACAGATCCTCTTTCGCTGTGGGCGTTGACAAAGGGTGTGGGGTTGAAAAGTCGGGGTGGGGGGGGGGGGGGGGGGGGGGGGGG